CTAACTCTTGCACAACTGATAAATCGTCAGTTCCAATGCCCGTGCAATCATCCCGTCCCCCCCCCCGCAGCTTGCTCGGCGAACTGCCTTCGGCCTCGGCTGCGGCTCCCTGTGGGACCTTGCCAGCGCGTCTCTGCGGCCGCACTGGCGCGCGCACGCTCGCGCGCAGCGCGGCCAGCTGGTTTAGCGCAGCTGGTGCGGCCGCGATGGCGCTTACCGATGGGAACTTCCAGGCGCGTCTTCAAGGCCGCGGTGGCGCGCGGACACTTGAGTGCGGATCGGTGCCTCGGGCGGGCGCGATATCATGATGGCATCGGCAGCGGCGGCAACGGTGGTGAGAATCCCATGAGTCCTTCAGGGCGTGAGTGGTTTAGAGCGTTTCCCCTTCCAACCCCCTTCTTCCCCTTCGGGGAGGGGTTTATCACCGCTCCCTGAATAAGCATCACACCCCCTCCAGGCAACAGGCAGCCAGCAAGGACCAAAGACAACACATCCCCTAACATCCTGCCAAAAAACAATGATACATACACTTTGGGGCTAAATCTTGGGTCATGCTCGCGGGCCTCGCGAGCACTCTGCATTGCTTTTTGACAGAGACGGCGGGGGTGTTCCGAGATTACCTGCTGTGCGCAAGGCCGCCATCTCTGTCTCAGAAACACTGCAAACTGCACGTCGTGACCAAATCTGAATCATGCGCGGCCACCCCGCGATCACCGCCTATAGGTTTTTGACAAAGACGGCGGGGGTACTGGCATATTGCCTGTTGTGTGCAGCCCACCAGACACCATGATGGTCTCCCCGCCGCGATTGTGCATCGGTTTTCGGCAAGGACGATGGGGGCCGACATGTTTCCCGATGTGCGCTGTGACGTGCGCAGGTGCACCTGACACACTTTGCGCATGCCCCGAACCCTGGTGCAGCTAGACCATACAGCACACATGGCGCTCGCGAAACACGTGGCGCATCTGGCGCGCCAGGCGTGCCTGGCACGCTTGGGCCTCTAGGGTGCCTGGCTCACACCTGGTGCGCCTGGCACGCGTGGCGCACCTCGCCCCAACGTCGTGCACACTGGGCCTGTTCTGGTTCCCGAAAGCAATCCGTCCATAAACGACCGCTGAGCATGCTGAGGCTCAGGTGCTACTTATGTTGGTAGGGCGCGTGGACGTGAGCGAGACAGCTTGCGGGCAAGAAGGGTGTCTTGATCACTGTTCCCTATTAATAAACACCCCCTCCCCCAGGCGACTGGGGGCCAACCGAAGTCCATGCCGACCGCCCCACCATCCCTGGTAAAAAACAATTCAAAACACACTTTGCCTCCAAATTCGGAACATGCGCAGCCAACCCGATGCGCCCCCCCCACCATCCCTGTCAAAAAACAATACAGAGTACACTTGGCGGCGGCGGCTGCTGCGGCGGCCGCGGCGGCGGTGGCGGCGGCTGCGGCGGCTGCGGCTGCGGCGGCGGCGGCGGCGGCGGGGGCGGGGGCGGGGGCGGGGGCGGGGGCGGCGGCGGCGGCGCGGCGGCGGTGGCGGCAGCGGCAGCGGCAGTGGCGGCGGCGGCGGTTTGGCAGCGGGGGGCGGCGGCGACTGCGGCGGCGGCGGCGGCGGCGGCGGCTGCGGCGGCGGCGGCGGCGGTGGTAGCGGTGGCGGCAGTGGCTGCGGCGGCTGCGGCGGTTTGGCAGCGGGTGGCGGCGGCGGCGGCGCCAGATTGGCCCCCAGTAGCTGTCCATCCCAAGACGACTGCTGAATATGCTCAGGCTCGGGCCAGACTCGGGTGCTACGTTTGTGTTGGGAGGGCGGGTGGGAGTGAACGAGACGGCTTGCGGGCGGGGAGGGGGTAACTTGACCACTCCCCCTACCCCCTCCCCTGGACCTGGACGGGGGTTCCGCGACGGGCCCAGTTTGGTCTCTAGGGACAGCGACGCTAATTTGCTACCCCCCTTCTTCGATCGATCTCCTCCAGTATGACCCAACGATGGCCCCCACGGCTCCCAAGAGGGCCCCAGGAGAGGCCCCAAGAAGCCCCCACCCAGGAGGCCCCAAAGAGGCTCCCAAGAGACCTCCAAGAGGTCCCCCCGGGCATCGAAAACGTTCCAAGAGGCCCACGGGACCGCCGAGAGGTTCCCAAAAGGCCCAAATAAGATCTCTGAGGCGCCCAAGAGGCTCCACGAGGCCCACGGGACCGACAAGAGCCCCCCCCCCCAGACGCCCCAAGAGGATCCAAATGCTCTCAAGAGACTTCCGAAGAGACCCCAAGAGGCGTCTGAGAGGCCTCTGGCCTTTCTGCTCGCCCTCCTCTTCCTCCTCCTCCTTTTCCTAATCCGCCTATTCCTCCTTGTCCCTCCTCTGTCCCCCCCCCCACCCCTCCCCCTCCCCCTGCCCCTCCCCCTCCCCCTCCGCCTCCTCCTCCTTCTCCTCCTCCTCCTCCTCTTCTTCCTGCGCTGGTTCCTCCTCCATCTTTTCCCTCTTGGGGCATGACGGCTTCCCAAACACTTGTTTCCAAGGCATGCTTCTCCACATCCCTGATCAAGGCAACTCCCCTGGGCATCGTTTCTGGATGGGCTGGTTGGGTTTACGTGAAGCGTCTAGCATAGCGATCGTGGTGGCGAGGATGACGGTGCTGATGTCCATATGCCGGTGGTGACTGTGACTGTGCCGATGATGGGAACAGTGGCGGCGAGTGGCGATGCCGCTGCCAGGTGTGATGCGGTGGCGCTGACATGGGTGATGAGAGGACGTGCGCGCGCGCGGCGGCGCGCGCATGTGGCCAGCATGGTGCTGCTTGACACGGGTTGGTGCACTGCGCGCATGCTATAGGGGGCAAACAAACCTACCTCGCTTTTGACCACCCTCGCTTCCAAGAGATACCAAGCGGTGCCAAACTACGGCCTGTACTGGTCAGGCCGCGTGACGAGGAGGCGCGTGGTATGACTTGGTTTTGCCTGGAAGCGAAAGCGGGGTAGGTAATTCACGCTCTGAGTAATGGGGCTTCTGGGCGGGATTGCTACCACCATGTGGGTTTCCGATGATTTCAGCAAGTGCGCGCGGTCGGGGCATCGGCAAAAGGTTTGCTGGAAGCCACGTTTTTGGTAGACCATGTTTTCGTGCTGAATTGGTAGGATTTCGACATGTGCGCGTGCGGAATTTGTGGTAGGGGCTCCAATAGGCCCCCCCGAGGCATCCAAGATACCCCCAAGGGGCCCCCAGCATGCCCCCCAGCACGTCCTCAGAGGTTCCCAAGATACCCCCAAGAGGCCCCAAGAGGCTCACCCGAGGCACCCAAGACGCTTCAAGAGGCCCCCAGGACCGCCAAGAGGTCCCCAAGACGCCCGAACAAGCCTACAATAAGCTCTCGAATGACATCCGAAGAGACCCCGGGAAGCATCCAAGAAGCTTCTGGCCTTTCTGTTCGCCCTCCCCCTCTTCCTCTTCCTCATCAGCCTAATCCTTCTCCTCGGTGTTCCCTCCTCTCTCCTCTCCCTCTCCTCCTCCTCCTCCTCCTCCTCCTCCTCCTCCACTTCCTCCTCCTCCTCCTCATTCTCCTCCTCCTGCTCTGGTTCCTCCTCCATCTTCCCCCTCTTGGGGTATGACGGCTTCCCAGCCTTCATTCCACTGCTTGCTCACCCACATGCCTGACCAGTGCAACTCGCCTGGGCGTCGTTTCTGGATGGGCAGGTGTGGCTACGCGAAGCGCTTAGAATATCTGGACCCCCCAGCCAACGCAGAAAATCCCAGAAAGCCCACCCGGCCAGAACTTGGAGGGAATCCAGCCGTGGCGACGAGGGGCGCCGCTGAAGGCCCAACTCCGTGCCCAAAAGCCTCCATCCTCAAGCCTCTATCCCCAAGCCTCCTCCTCCTCCTCCTCGTCGGCGTCGTCGCCGTTCTCCTCCTCCTCAACTACCCCCTTCAGTGTGCAGCTACCTCAGCGTGGCACTCAATCAAGAGGCCACAAGTGTTGCACAGCGTAGCAGGAGTGGCAAGGATTCCATGAGCTGGTCTTGGTCTTCGTCTTCCTGCTCCTCCTCGTCCTCGTCCTCGTCCTCGTCCTCGTCTTCCTCCTCCTCCTCCTCCTCCTCCTCCTCCTCCTCATCATCATCATCATCATCATCATCATCATCATCATCATCATCATCATCCTCGAGGCCTCTTCCTCCTCCTCCTGCTCCTCCCCTTCCTCCTCGTCGAGGTCAGGGCTCCTCGGGGATCGGGACGACGGGGCCCGAAGCAGCGAGGGCCCCTGGGAAGGGGGCAGCGCCCGCGCGAGGGCACCGAAGAGCAGGGGACTGGCTCAAAGGGGGGGAAGAAGGATCCGGAATCGGCGCGAAGTCGACGATAGATCGGCGATGCAGTGAAGCTGCTGCCACAGGGAACGCCAGATGAGGAACGGATCCCCTCTCCTTGGCCCCAGAAGCGCCTGGGTGCACGGGGCGCGCCAGAGGAACAACCATGCAAGGACCTGAAGAGTATCGAGCCCTATCGTCCTCCTCCTCCTCCTCCTCGTCCTCGTCCTCCTCCTCCTCCTCCTCCTCCTCCTTCTCCTCCTCCTCTTCCTCTCCTCCTCCTCCTCCTCCTCCTCCTTCTCCTCCTCCTCTTCCTCTCCTCCTCCTACTCCTCCTCCTTCTGCTGATCCTCCTCGTCGTCGTCCTCCTCCTCCTCCTCCTGCTCCTCCTCCTCCTCCTCCATTTCTTCAACGTCTTGCCTGTAGGCCCCCGATGGGTCAACCCCGCGTTCCCGAACGGGCTGGGGCACCTGGGCCGCGATCGGCGAGCACCCGGCGGTTGGGGGCCGATGCCGACCCCCCCCCCCCAGCCGATCCCTCCGCCTTCGGGGAGCTACTGTTAACGGGCGAAGAACGGTATAACATAGACTTTTTCGCTGTCGGGGGCGCCTGTCCCTGGGCGGCTGGACAGTTTATACTCTCACGGTGGCACCGTAGGGGTATAAACTTTCCAGCCGCCCAGGGACAGGCGCCCCCGACAGCGAAAAAGTTTATTTTATACCGTTCTTCGCTCGCTGATACTGACCTGGGTCACTGCAAAGCCAGGTCAATCGGGCTCTGCAGGATCGTGCAAGATCCTGCACGAGCCTGCGCGCTGGCCCGGGTCAATGCAACCCTGGCGATGCAGGATCCTGCAAGCTCCGGCGCCCTGGTTGCCCCCCGTGTGCACTTCCCCCCATCTCTAGGCTCCCTCCTCCTGCCGGCGCCCCTCAGCCTGGGGCAGGTCACAGCTCCGCCTTTGGCCCCGCCTTGGCGCGGGCGCGGCCGCGCATAATTAGAGGGGAGGCGGCCATGGCTGCGGCGGCTCTTCCTCCTCCTCCTCCTTCACCTGCTCCTCGCTCCTTCCTCGTCTCTCCTCCTTACTACTTCTCGCTCCTCGCTCCTCGTTCCTGCCCCTCCTCGCTCTTCGCTCCTCCTCCTCCTCCTCCTCCTCCTCCTCCGCATCTTCTCGCGCGCGCGCTCCCACGGGCGCCAATGCTGTTTACGGTGCGCAGACGTTCGTCGACGTCGATTCGCGTGTGCCCAGACATCCTGTGGTGTCGGGTCCTGGTTTTGGAGAGACAGCGCCCCGCGTTCTCCTTCCTCCTCCTCCTCCTCCTCCTCCTCCTCCTCGTCGTCGTCCTCCTCCTCCTCCTCCTCATCGTCATCATGCCCTTCTTGTTCTTCTTCCTCCTCCTCCTGCTCCTGCTCCTCCTCCTCCTCCTACCGACGGCCCCAATGGCTGCGTTCGCATGCGCCCACCGCACCCAAGTTTGGCACACCCCTCACACGTCTCGTGGCCCCAGAGGGAGCTCCACCGACGGCCCCAGTGGCTGCGTTCGCATGCGCTCGCCGCACCCGTTCTGGTACACCCCTCACACGTTTCGTGGCACGCTAGGGAGCCCCACCGACGGCCCCAATGGCTGCGTTCGCGCGCGCGCGCGCGCGCTCACTGCACCCATTTTGGCACACCACTCACACGCTTCGTTGCCCCACAAGGAGCTCCACCGACGGCCCGAGCGGCTCCTTTCGCACGCGCCCACCGCACACATTTTGGCACACCCCTCATGCGTTTTTTGGCCCCAGGGGGAGCTCCACCGACGGCCCCAATGGCTGCGTTCGCATGAGCCCACCGCGCCCAATTTTGGCACCCCCCTCACACGTCTCGTGGCACCAGAGGGAACCCCACCGACGGCCCCCATGGCTGCGTTCGCGCGCGCGCGCACTCACCGCACACATTTTGGCACACCCCTCACACGCTTCGTGGCCCCACATGGAACTCTTCTGACGGCACCATTGGCTGCGTTCGCATGCGCCCACCGCACACATTTTGGCACACCGCTCACACGTGTCGTGGCCCCATATGGAGCTCCTCCTACGGCCCGAGTGGCTGCGTTCGCATACGCCCACCGCGCATATTTCGGCACACCCTCCACTCCATAGAGAGCTCCACCGACGGCCCCAGTGGCTGCGTTCGCATGTGCCCACCGCGCCCATTCTGGCACCTCACACGTTTCGTGGCTCCACAAGGAGCTCCACCTGCGGCCCGAGTGGCTGCGCCCACCGCACCCATTCTGGCACACCCTTCACACATTTCGGCCCCCGAGGGAGCTCCACCGACGGCCCCAGTGGCTGCGTTCGCATGCGCCCACCGCGCCCAATTTTGGCACACCCCTCACACGTCTCGTGGCCCCATAGGGTGCTTCTCCGAACGCGGTACATACAGAACGACGGTGCTCACAGCTTCATTTGGTTGGGCCCTTCGCCAGGCTAATTTTGGTGGTTGTTTTGTTATCTGTTGTTTCTTTGTTTCGTTTTGTTGTTTCGTTGAATTTCTGGAGGTTCTCGTCGTCGCGGGTGGGCGCGGCCTGGGCAAGCATCTGGCCGTGTGAAGATCGCCTGAGTTCCGTTTCCGGCAAGATAGTTGCGTACACAATGTAGCACCGGCGGGAAAGACGGGTTTGCAGCAACGTTTCCCCACCTCTGCAATCATGTATTTCAGGTGCCACGCAGAGGGCCGTGCTAGCAGCTCGCTGCGCACTGTGCACCAGCGTTGAACATAGGGGCGAAAATTATTGTGGACAGGTCTTGGGATGGGGTCTGGGGACCAATATCGAGCGGATCCTGAGCAAATGTCGAGCGATCGGGGGTGGTCTTCCAAGAAAGCAAGCGGCATCTCGGAAGGGCTCGGAGCCCTCCCAGAGGGCCCCCTCCGAGCTGGGAAGGCTTCCTAGAGAAGCCCGCTGCCTTCTCGGGTCCCCCCCCCGCCCCCATCCCAGACATGCGACGTCGTGCTTTTTTTTCGATGCGAGGTCCCCGAAGTCCCGAGCCTTTCCCCAAGGCTGGTTTTTTGTCCCGAGTCGTGCTGTGACGGTCCTGGGGCCCAGCGGGGGCTCGAGGAGGCCGAAAACGGCCAAACACCTTCCGTAACGTTTTAGATATATGCGTGTGTGCACACACACACACATATATATATATATATATATATATATATATTATATATATATATATATATATATACAAGACTGCATTGGCGCTTCGCGCCATGCACCTTGGTCCTTCAACCCTTGCGCGCGTTGGCGTCTAGCGCGGCCCTCCACGGTCTTTGAACCGCGGTTGGTTCGCGCCCAGTTCCCGGACCTGCACCTTACTTGCTCGCGCCCTCGCTCTGCTGGTCCGCGCGCCACTGGGACTCCATGAGAATGTCCCAGCGGACCGATCAGCGGCGATGAGAGCGGCCGTGGAGGCTCCGGAAATACAAAACGTCGGACAGAAGGGGCGGGAAAGAAGTGGAGGACGATTTGGGGAGGCGCGGCGAAGGGAGGAATATCATGAGGTAAGGTAAGGTAAGGCACGCATTGGGGCGGCGTGCTGTCTCGACTTGTGTTGTGGAGAATGATTCTGCAGGCAGGGTCTCGCCACAATCGAAGCAAGCGAATACAGACATCGAGGATGTGCCGTATGCGACAGCTTAAAAATGTAAGCCAACGGCTACGGATGCATGTGTGCGAACACGTGTGGAAAACAATGTTTCCTTAATGACTTGGAAGGGCCCTCGTGAAACCTCCATGGAACGATTATTCTGGGATGCGATAGGGCATAGGGCAGCAAGCATGCAGGCAACGTACCGGATCCTGGAAATGCTAAGGACATCTACCGAATTCCGGGGAAATGTGCCGAATCCCGGGTTCGCAGCCGATTTCCCGGGAATTTGGTTGCGAACCCGGGATTTCAAGCATTTTGGTGTTTTGCGTGGGATGCCACTGTCTGGCAAACAACGGAGCAGCGCAGCGAAGCCGTTCCGGAGGTGGCGGTCAAGTGGGGCGATTCAGCAGTTTTGAAGCCTCTTGGGGGGCCGTTTTGGCTGCCTTTTGGAGAGCCATTTTGGGGCCTCGTGGGTTCTTTTTGGGAGTCCTCGGGGCCTTTGGAAGCCTCTTGGGGCCTCTTGGGGCCCTCCTGGGGCCTCCTGGGGCCCACTTGGGGCGGAAAGTTAGATGTTTGAACTTTTGATCGCCCTGTGGGGGCTCGTTTGAAGCTTTCTCGGGGCCCTCTTGGGCCTTCTTGGGCGCCTCTTGGGCTGTTTCGGGGCGCTCCAGAGCCGTCTTGGGGCCGTGTTGGGGCCGTTTTGGGGGCCCCCCGGGCCATCTTGGGGCGCTCTTGAGGGCCTCTAGTTCTGTCTTGGAGCGTCGGAAAGCTAAAATGGCGAGAAAGCAGAAAACATCGAAAAACACATTGGAAAATTGACCATTTCGGCCTCCCGGGGCCGTCTTGGGGGGCTTCTTTGGGGCCGCTTGGGGCGTCTTGGGGGCTCCTGAGGCTGTCTTGGGGCTATCTTTGGCGTCTTGGAGCGCTTTGTGCCTGTCTTGGAGCGCTCTTGAGGCACTCGGGACCGCTTCAATGGGCGTCCGGAGGGTCCCAAAGTCCCAGGATCCCAGGAGTCCGGTTTGGGGGGGGGGGGGGGGTGCGGGGTTTTGCGGCCGCCCGGGCTTGTAAAAATATAGGAAGAGGAATGTATGTATTTGTATGCGTGCATATGCACACACATATAAACAGATGTATCTTCGGGTGAGAAGGAGGTTCGCGGGGGCGGAACCAACGTCTCTCTCAATCGATCTCGCTATCGATCTCACTACATCTCTCACAATCGACCTCACAATCGATCTCATTATCGATCCCACTATCGGTCTCACTATCGATCTCACTATCGATTCCACTATCGCTTTCACTATCGATCTCACTATCGATCTCACTATCGATCTAACTAGCGGTCTCACTATCGGTCTCACGATCGATCTTATGGGACACCACGGGACACCACGGGACACCACAAAACACCGCGGGACATCATCGGGACACCTTGGCGGGACACCGCGGGACACTGCGGGACACCACGGGACACCACGGGTTACCACGGGACACCATCACGGGACGCCGTGGGACGCCGCGGGACACCACGGGAAACCACGGGACACCATAGGAAAACATCAGGACACCACAGGCGGGAAACCGCGGGACACAAGCGACACACCACCAGGACACCATCGGGACACCAATCGAGATACCGCGGGACTCCACGGGACATCACGGGACACCTCGGGACACCATGGCGGGACACCTCCGGCACCCGCCCGCCACGCGGCTGGGGAGAGCGGACTTCTGTCCTCGCTGCGCCTTAGCCAGAGGAGGGTTCATTCCCCTCTCCCGCCCACGAAGCTTCGCCTCGCCCGCACGCGCGACACGAACCCGAAACCGGAACCGATTATTTCCCGGTGGGGGGATCTCCGTCCCACCTCGATCTCACCCCCATCAGACGACGGGAGGATGTCAGGGCTCACTCCGTTCTGCGCGCCGCTGGCGTTTCCTCCTCATCGTCCGTGCACTCCGTGGGCGTGGCGGGGGAGTCACGGCGGGCACCCATTGCCCCGCTCTAGGCCTGGGGTCTCTCCCCCGCGCATCACACGTCGACCTTGCGCGGTGAAGGCGAAGCAGAGGTGACGGAACGCCCGCCCGGGTGGCGTTTGTTGCCGCGGCGTCGCGTTTGCCTCGCGACGTCGGGTCTCGGGGTCCGCAAGAAGCAGGGAATTCAGAGCGGGAGGAACGCGGGGGATGATGATGATGATGATGATGATGATGATGATGATGATGATGATGATGATGATGAGGAGGAGGAGGAGGAGGAGGAGGAGGAGGAGGAGGAGGAGGAGGAGGAGGAGGAGGAAGAGGGAGTAGGGGGGAAGGGGGAGGGAAGGAGGAGGAAGGCTCGGGGGAGGGTCTTTTGTATTTTTGGTTTTGATGGGTTATGGGTGCTTCTAAGGGGTTCTTGGGGCTCCTCCTCCTCCTCACCCTCCTCCTCGTCCTCCTCTTTTGCATTCTGCTATTGCTGCTCATCCTCATCCTCCTAGTCCTTGTCTTCCTCTCCTTTCTCCTCCTCTTTCTTCTGCTCATTCGTCTCGTTCTTTCCACGTCTCCTCATCATTTTCTGTATGAGGATCCTTCTCCTTTTCCTTATCCTCTTCCTCGTTTTTTTCCTGCTCACTATGTCCTGTTTCCAAGTTGCCATTTCAACTTCCCATGCCTACTTCTGTTGCGTTCACATTTCATGTTCTTCCTCTCCCTCCTCCTCCTCCTCCTCCTCTTCCTCCTCCTCTTCTGCCTCCCCCGTCTCCTCCTCCTCGTCCTGCTATTCCTTCTCTTCCACCTCCTCCTCGTCTTATCCAATTTCTCCTCCTCCTCAACTTCTACCTCCACCTCCACCTCCTCCACCGCCGCCTCTTCGTCCCCCTTTCCCGCTCTTCTTCTTCTTCTTCTTCTGCTTGTCCTCCTTCTTTCATCTCACCTTCTCCTCCTCATCCTCATCATCGACTCATCATCTCTTTCTTCTCCGTTTTCTCATCGTCCACCTCAAGCGCGCAGACGAGCTCAGGCTATTCACATGTATCATTCTCGAATCCTGGACAAAGCTATCATATATGCAATATTTCCCGATTTCCAGGGGCTCAAACCACATTCAACGAGCTTCGTGCGGGATCGCGCGAACCCCTTCATGCTTCCCAAAAAGGAAGCACCTGCACCTCGATTACTGCTGGTGCCTCCCGTGCAGATACCTCTGCGCGCAGTAGCAGCTTCATGGGTGATACTTATCATGCCGCGTCTGTTCTCTCAACTTCCATCTCGCACACTTGCTAACAAGAGCAATACCCGCCTGGCCCTTTGGTTTTGGCTTCGCCTTGGCCGCGGGCGCAGCGTCCCATGGCTTCTCCAGGTTGAGAACGTTCCGGATGGCTGCCGAATATTGGTCTACCACCGCCCAGGCATTCGAGAGGAAAAAAGGAAAACACACGTATCGCAGACAGAATAGCGGCCCTGCAAGTCCAGCTCATCCCAATTGTATTGTCGTCGTTGCTGTTGCCGTCGTCGTCAGTATAGTCGTCGAGTTTCCCTCACTCCTCTCTGTTTGCCTGTCTCTCCCTTACTTTCCCGCTCGTTCGGGCGCCAAGCTGATGTCTCTGTCCCTGTCTCTCTCTGACTGTATTGGTTCGATCCTAGAAGACCTGTGCAGACACCTGTGCGAACACCTTCCTTTTCAGCCCCCGCCCTACTTAGGAAAGCCGGCTGTAGGCAATGTCGGAGGTGGCGATGGGCGCCGATCTTCAGATGCCCGACTGGTTCAGTGAGGGTGCCAAGAGGAAGCCAGAGGGCGAGGCAGCAGCAGCAAGTGGAGGACAGGAGGGAGGAGGAGGCGGCGGCGGCAAGAAACCAACGCGTGGGGGCCAAGACGCCTCAACCATACAGAAGAACATCGCTACTATTACCTCGCCATCGCTCGGACGTCCGTTCCCCGTGCATTTGGCTGTTTCGTGCGCGTGTTGCTTCGACCGATGATCCTCAGGCTGCCCCTCGCCGGCCATCGCCGAGAAAACATGCAGACGTCCGAGCGATGCCGAGTCATCCGTCTCGTGCTCAAGAGCTCTCGGGATCAGGCAGACGTCGCAGCCAGCCTCTTCCTCTGGTGCGAACTCGTGGCCTCGACCCTCCTCATCGCCGCTCTGATCAAACACATGGAACAAGTACGATCGCAGATCCTGGGAGATGCGCGGGAAGGCGAGGGGGCGGGGAGGAGGTAGGCTCCAAGAGTTGGGCCCCCCCACCCCCTCCTCCACATCTTCCTCCTCCTCCTCCTTTTCCTCCTCCTCCTCCTCGTCCCCATCTGGCCCATTGTCGTCATCCTGCTCCTTCCCTACCTCGTGGTGCGCGTCGTCTTCCTTCTTCTCCTCCTCCTCCTCCTCCTCCTCCTCCTCCTCCTCCTCCTCCTCCTCCTCCTCCTCCTCCCTCCCTCTCCTGCTCCTCCTGCTCCTCCTCCTCCTCCTCCTCCTCCTGCCCCTCCTCCTACCCTCTCTCCTCATCCACTCCACGTGTTCATCCTCGCGTCAGCCGTGCATTGCGGCTCTGCCAAGACGGTGCGGGAGGGCGAGGTGCAGCAGCGGGGCCAGAAGTGCAGGGTGAGCCCGGCGCCGCCCAGCTCTGGACAGACCACTTTCCCAAACTCCACTGGCGCGAGATCGGTCGCGCGTGCGGCCGCTCTGTGTGAAGGTGCATCGTCGGGAGCCGAACGTTACTCACAAGTGCACCCTGTACATGCACTGTCGCCCGAGGAGCAAGATCCAGGGCGTTCCATGGGGAGCTGGCAGAGTTGGTGGTGGTGGAGGTGGGGCTGTACCCTGGAGACTGGCACCGAAGGGGCCGTTCGAACAAGGTCCGCCCCACCACGCAGGGATATGAGCGACGAGCGAGAGCGCTCGAACGTAGTGTGCGCTGCCTGCAGCTGGCAGCACGAGGTATTACAGCACCTCAATCGGCCAAGCACCCTATGATAAACGTGCTGCGCTCTGGCCATCCCGGGGGGGTTCGTACCAAGGGCGCACTGGCGGGGCGTCCCGGGAGGTCTCGTACCCGGGCGCACCGGCCCCGGGGGGGTTTCGTGCATCCCGGGGGGCTTCGTACCGGCCTGCACCGGCGGTGCGGCCAGCACGAGAGCCCCAGGACGAGCGATTCCGGGGGGGGGGGTCGCTCCGCACTGGGCACCGCCGGCATACATGCATGATAAATGTGCCGTCTGGTTGTTGGAGGTGGGGCGGAGAGACAGGGCAGCGACGGAGCGCGAGGGCGCCTGCCACGCCCGCGACCCGTGGCGGCCCCCTCCGTGTGGTGGCGCCCGGCGGAGGGGCCAAATGGGACAGGTTCTGTCTTTTCTCGGGCCTGGCGAAAGGGGGGGGGATAGCAAAGGAGGGGTTGGTGAATCAGCTCACGTAGCTGATTTTCCCGGCGCCTCCCGGCGCCGGAGGCGGCCATGTAGCGAGGAATGAATGGGCCCCTCGGCGGGGCTGAAACCAGCTGCATGCAGCAAATTTCGTACCCCCCCCTTTCCCTATCCCCCCCTTTCGTTCTGGGATGACCGTGAGGGTTTCTAAGTGTATAAGGGAGTTACAAGTGGATGCTAAGGTGAGTTATATCTGGCCCAACCTGGCTTATAGCCGAGTGTCTTAGGGGGGTTAGGTAACGGCTAAGTGGGCGGAGCCCACTTAGCACGGATCGCTAACCCCCCTAGGCTATTTAAGGCGTTTGTAACCCACTTGTAAGCTAGGTTGGGCCAGATATAAACCACCTTGGCGTCCACTTGTAACCCCCCTATCCACTTAGAAACCCCGACGGTCGTCCCTCTTCGGCCCGATTTTCGAGGCCTCCCGCGTTTCTCGGTCGACACCTCGTTCTTGGCAGCGAGCACGGGTGGGGCCCGCCCTGGAGCTGCCCGGCAGGATCCCGGCCGCCGTGCCCGCCCGCGCCCGCGGAGCCCCTCTGCGCGGGGGCCCGGCGGCTGCGGGCCGGGGCCAGTGCTGCCACCGCGTGCAGGAGAGCAGCAGCGGGCCACGTCTGCACGGCAGAGGTTCGGGAGACTCTTCATGGGGGGGGATCCCATGGGGGGATAGGATCCCGGGGGGGGATCCCATAGGATCCCCCCCCCCATGGAGAGTCTCCCCAAAAGTTTTTGGCAACGCCTTTCGCAGAACCCTTCCGGCATGCTCTGGCGCACTTTTTTTTCTGACATCTCAGGCTTCGTTGTTGCAAGTCCTTGGGCTCCACGAGCTCTTTCTATTTCTCTCTCTCTCTCTCTCGCACGATGGGATGTTCACGATTTTCAGATAGATGTTGCACTTCGTTTTCTGTGCTTATGGCCGCGTCCATCTTGTAACATTGGCAACTTGCGGCAGTCACACACCCGTGTTGGCGGGCATTCTGTGTGACCCCTCTCGCGAGTCCTCGGGAACCCAACAGTGCTGGTGTGAACCCGAAGGGGACCCAACGGGCCTGTGCGACTCCGTGTCGGCCATGGTCGCCGCGCCAGCACGGAGCCCTTGTGACGCGAACGAGGTGGACGGCGCCACAGCTGTATACACGTGTATACCTATACGACCACCCTTCGGGTGATAAGGAGGTTCGGGGGGGGGGGAACCAACGTCTCAGTCGATCGGTCTCACTATCGATCTCAGTATCGATCTCACTATCGGTCTCGCTCGATCGATCTCACTCGATCGATCGCACAATCGATCTCACTCGATCTATCTCATTCGATCGATCTCACAATTGATCTCACAATCGATCTCACAATCGATCACACTATCGATCTCACATTCGGTCTCAATATCGATCTCACTATCGATATCACAATCGCTCTCACAATCAACGTCATCATCACCATCATCATCATCATCATCATCATCATCATCATCAACAACATCATCAACATCAACATCATCACCAACATCGTCATCATCATGCGGGCACCGTCATCATCATCACCATAAACATCATCATCAACGTCAGCATCATAATCGGGACAACATCATCATCATCATCACCATCTTCATCTCATCATCAACATCATCATCATCGGGACACAGTCATCGTCATCATCATCAGCAGCATCATCAGAATCATCATCATAATCGGGACACCATCATGATCACCATCGTTCTCATCATCATCATTATCATCAACATCGTCATCATCCTCGGGACACCATCATCATCATGATCATCGCATCATCATCATCATCGACATCATCATCATCAACAACATCATCATCATCATCATCATCATCATCATCATTGGGGCACCATTATCATCATCATGAGTAACATCATCATCATCATCATCATCATCATCATCATCATCATCATCGTCATTATCATTATTATCATCATCGGGACACCATCAGCATCACCATCATCATCATCATCACCATCATCATCATCAGCATCATCATCGGGACACCATAATCATCAACATCATCATCATCAACATCATTATCGCTGGGACACCATTTCCATCAACATCATCATCACCAACATCATCGGTATCATCATCATCGTCATCATCATCATCGGGACACCCTCATCGTCATCATCATCAACATAATCATCATGAGCATCATCATCCTCATCATCGCGACACTATCATCATCATCGACACCATCATCAAGATCATCATCATCTTCATCGGGACACCATCATCATCATCTCATCATCATCATCATCATCATCTTCTTCTTCTTCTTCTCATCATCATCCTCGCGGGACACCGCGGGACACCGGCGGGACACCGCGGGACACCGCGGGACACCGCGGGACACCGCGGGACACCGGCGGGACACCGCGAGGCCCCGGCCGCCCGGAAGGGAATCATTTGGTCCGGCCGCGCCTCAGCCACACGGAACACCAACGGGACACCGGCGGGACACCGCGGGGCCCCGGCCGCCCGGAAGGGAGTCATTTGGTCTGGCCGCGCCTCAGCCACAGGAGACTTTCTCTCGCCCGCCCACGCAGCTTCGCCTCGCCCGCACGGCACGCACGAACACGAAACCGAAATCGATTTCCTGGTAGGGGGGCTCTCCGTTCCACTTCGATCTCACCCCCCAACCTCCGATCTTACCACCGTCCGTCCCTGCTATTCCCTGGCCGCCCCGATGCACAAGCAACCCGCCGCCTTCCGCTCCTGCCCCGCGCGAGCCTGCTTCACCACCACCCCTTGCTACCTCTCCGCCTCCTTGTCGTCACACTCGTTCCTTACACTCCTCTGCTCTCTCTCTCTCTCTCTCACTTCTTCCTCCTCCTCCTCCTCCTCCTCCTGCTCCTTGCTTCTTCCTTGTCCCTCCTCCGTCAGGGTGGGACCAGCCTGTCGAGCCCCCTGCCCTGGCCCCCGCGCGATCTTCCACCCAGTCGTCGCCGTGCTCGGGAGGGCTTGATTGCGGGGTGTCATCCCAAGACGGGCAACCCCTTGGAGGGTCCTGTGTCGTGAATCGCGGATCCTGTTGGTGCATTCTGTCGGCGCCAATGCTAGTGCTTCTTTAACCCTCGTTACTCTGCTGTCGTTCGGTTGCACGGGCTGCATGTCGTCGGCACTCCTCCTCCTCCTCCTCCTCCTCCTCCTCCTCCTCCTCCTCTTCCTCCTCGTTCTCCTCATCTGATCCCCTCCTCATCCTCTTCCTCCTCCCCCTCCTCCTCCTCCTCCTCCTCCTCCTCCTCCTCCTCCTCCTCCTCCTCCCTCCTCCTTCTTCTCCTTCTCCTTCTCCTCCTCCTCCTACTTCTCCCCATCTGGCCCGTTGTCGTCATCCTGCTCCTGCCATACCTCGTGGTGCACGTCGTCTTCCTCCCCCAGTCTTCTCTCTTCTCCTCTGCTGTTGCGTCGCACCCAGCGGAATCCGCGAGCGCGGAGCACAATGCAAGCATGATGCAACGACAACTCAAACGCACCGACCCATCATCCTCCTCCAGCTCCTCCCCTCCCTCGTGCTTACATGAATGATTCGGCAACGAATCGGCATCAGCTCGATCGTGCAGGAAGCGCTGCCAGTCGCTACGACGGCCAGGGCTGCCAGTCGCTGCGACGGCCAGGGGAGCGCGGAGCGGGGCTGCACGTGCCCGAGCGAGGCGTGCGTGCGTGCGCGCGCACGCAGGGCCCGAGAAGTGTCCCCTCCGTAAAACTTGTTCCATCTGATCTCCGTGAGGTTCTTCAAATTGTCGGTCGGCCACCCGATGTACGCGTCCTCTCGCCGCCGCCGGGCGTGCTCTGGCCAGGCGCACGCGAGCACTGATCACGGCTCCGTGGACCTGGCCGAGTGGGCGCCAGATCCACGGATCGGGAAAGGTACGGCAGGTTCGTGTCGTGCAGACTTCGGCATTGGTTCCTGACACCGCGGGGATCGTTCCACATGGAATGATCGGCAATTTTCGAACCGTCGAAACGTCCGATCCTTCAACATCGACCGACTCTGGATCGCGGGTGCGTTCAAGATAGAATCGGGGATCTCCCGACCCGGGTCAATCCAGACCCGGGTCAGTCGAGCTCTGCAGAATCCGGCAAAATCCTGCAGGATCCTGCACCCCAGGCCTGGGTCAATGCAACCCTGGCTCTGCAAGAGCCTGCAAGATCTGGCGCTCTGACTGACCCCCGAGGCAAATACATTCAAATCCATTTCTATCAATCGTTTAGCTCAGAGTCCATACATCGAGCCTAGGGCTTGAGAGTTGAAGTCGACGAAGCCAGGATGTACAATCAATGCGTCAAACTCAATATTGGATACGCTTGCATGGACCCCTGCCTCTCGAGCCCCCCGTGGCACGCCCGAGCTGGGGTCGCTGCCGGTCGACACGACGCGAACACGCCGTGCCCCCCCCGCAGCATGAGGCCACTGTCGCCCGATCTGGCGGCTGAGCGCGCCGATCCCGTACGGGAGCGGGGGCCGTCGCTCCTCCTCCTCCTCCTCGGAGGAGGAGGAGGAGGAGGAGGGGGAGGAGGAGGAGGAGGAGGAGGAGGAGGAGGAGGGAGGAGGAGGAGAGGAGGAGGAGAGGATAGGAGGAGGAGGAGCAGGGAGCAGGCGGAGGAGGAGGAGGGGGAGGATAGGAGAGGAGGAGGATGGAGGAGGAGGAAGGCGGGAGGAGAGGAGGAGGAGGTGCGGAGGAGGAGGAGAGGAGCAAGAGCGCGCCGTGGTCCACGTCCCCCCCTCCCGTCCCCCTTCCCCGCCCCGGTCCTCCCGTCCGCTCTTCCCCCCCTCTCGCTCCCCCCCTCCCTGCCCCTCTCGGCCCCTGCTCCCCTCCCCTCGAAGAAGAACAGCTGCTCACCGAGCGCCTTCCACTGTGCCCGCAAAGTGCTGCGGTCCACGTGCGCGCTGCCTTGAGCTGGGCGGCGAGATCGCGCAGGGGCCAGGGCGCGAGGAGCCGCAGGGCGGGCAGCGGAGCCCATGCGGGGGGGGGGGGGTCGCCGCTGGCCCCGGCCTGCACGAAGCGCGCTGTGCCTGCGGCGTGTGCGGCCTCCACTCCCGCGTGCTTCCTGCGGGCGCTCGTGGCGCAGAGCGTGCCGATGCGTACGCCAGCTGCCTCCCACTAGGTGGGCGATTCCGAAAGCCCTGAAGCCAAAAACATTTTCACCTCCCGGGGGCGCATTTTTTACTTCCGCCGCCTTGCGCCGAGCTTCCGCCGGCGGAGGCGGCCTCGTGTTACTTCCTCCGACCTTCCGCCGCCCTTCCGCCGCCTTCCGCGGCGGAAGAGATGGCAGCTCATTCGATCCTCGAAGGGAAACTCTTTTTTGGAACGCTCCATGTGCGACAAGCTCTAGAGGCTGCCACTATCATTCGGACCGTCGAGATGTATGTTTGAGCATCGTCGAACGTGTTATCGCTTCTGGGGTCCACGTGGGCCACTGTTTCACATTGACTGTCAACTGCGGTATCGAAGTTGTAGCCCTCCGATCTTAAACTTCATTACGGCTGCCTGTTCGTACCCCTCGACATGCCAATCTGACTACTCCTGTAAGTCTCCGCTATGTTCGGCACATGTGCCCTCGTTCGGCAGTCGTCGTCTGCAGAGCAAGAGAGCATTTGCGGGCAACCACGTCGCTTCACCCCTCCTTCACGTGAAAGTCCGGCTCCGGCTCCCACGTCCTCGCCGCGATGCGCTGGCGAAGCCCTGCCAGAATCATCGCTGTTGAATCTGTCTTCGAAGCGGTCACCAACAATGCGACACGTAACCATCGTTGGGGCCATCGTCGGTGGCGCCATTTCCGCCGCTGGTAGTGGGTAGCCAAGGGTGGCGTCTTCCAGAGCCTCGCCCTGGAGAGTTGCAGGGGCGCCGGCCCCGGAAGGAGCAGGAGGGGAAGGGGCAGGGAGGGAGAGGAGCGGGGCAGGATAGAGAGAGGGGGGGGGAGGATGAGGAGGATGAGGAGGATGAGGAGGAGGACAAGGATGAGGATGAGGATAAGGATGAGGATGAGGATGATGATGATGATGATGATGATGATGATGCTGCTGCTGATGATGATGATGAGGAGGAGGAGGATGAGAGGAGGGGGGGGGGAGGAGGGAGGAGCAGGATGAGGAACAGGAGGAGGAGGGAGGAGACAGGGGGAGGAACAAAACAAGAAGGAGGAGGAGAGGAGAAGAGGAGGAGGAGGGGCGGGTCATCGAACTCGTACCACACGCCCACCTCCAGCTTCGAAGACCTGGGCGAGCCAGCGCGCCCGGGCGCGCCCTGCCCCCGTCAGGCTCGCGCCGCTCCCACCACCGCCCTCCTCCGCCTCCTCCTCCTCCTGCTCCTCCTCCCCTGCTCCTCCTCCTCCTCCTCCCTCCTCCTCCTCCTCCTCCTCCTCCTCCTCCCCGTCCTCCTCCTCCTCCTCCTCCTCCTCCTCCTCCTCCTCCTCAGCCCCCTCCTGATCACCCCCGACCGCGGTGCGCCCTTGGGGAGTCCACAGAGGACGTACGCGCCCAGCTATTGTGTATGAACACGGCCCCTCGATCCGCGAGACTGGCCGCGCGATTCAGACATTTGCGCAGTGCGCACTCTCGAAACCAGCGTTGGATTCATGTGCATGTGCGTTCTGCTTTCGCTCCCGAGGGGCCCTGCCCTCCCCTCCGCCAGACCCTCGTTCCTTCCTGACTGCCTCCTTGCTCCGTCAAGACCTCGCAGCGGGGCGAAGCCGCATGGCAGCTCAGAGCGCATGCGCGCGCAGGGAGGATCGGAGGGAGTGCTCCTCGGTCGAGGGTGCCTTCAGTGACACCTTGGCGAACATGCCCCCGGCGCAACAGCGCACGTGCGCTCGCTCGCGGAACCAAGGGGACGTCTCATGAGGACAGTGCTGCCAGCGCGTGAACTCCGAACAGCTCACTCGTGCAACAGGTGTGCAACCTGGCTGCTGCTGGCGTGTTGTGTGCGAGGGCTTCAACGAGTTCCTGGATTCCAGCGACCTCCGGCGTCGATTTTTTCTGTCCATGGCGCGCCAGCGCTCTCGCCCTCCATCCCGGGGCCAATCCAAGACATCGGATGTCTGGGTCTCTCCTCCGCCTCCTCCTCCCGACCTGCCGCCGGTCTTCAGCACCTTCTCCTCGAAGGCCAGTCTGGGCAACCACAAGCCGAATCCGCCGACGAGGAAGAACGAGTTCACCTTCCCAGGGGACGGACGGCAGCACCGGTTGGAAGGAGGAAGAAGAATGTCGAACCCATCCCCCCTGGCGCACTTCACTGCTGCTGCACTCTCACGAAGGCGTCCTTTCCCTCCCCATGTGCCGTGTTCCTCCGCCTGACTGAATGGTCTTGGCTGGCACCAGCCTGGCCCCTCCTGCAACAAATGCGTCGTCTCAGTATGCATCAAGATATGAGTAGTGTTGTTGCTCTTTCCCACGCCGGATCCTAACCCGCAGTTGTGCAGTAGCCCTTGATGGGAGATTCTGTAGGAACTGGGCCCAGTACATTCACATGACAGGTGTGACGATATTTCCATGTATCCGCCACCGTGCCATAGGCACTGAGTGGAGTGTCCTCCCTTAGAGGGGTCGGGAGCTTTAATTTCCAGATCTCATGGGGCTTTCTGCGGAACTTCTGGGGTGCGTGCGGGACCTTCCTGAGGCCAGGAAGCCCCAAAATGGACTCAAAGGGCCCCTAAGAGGGTCCTCAAACGGCCCATGAGGGCTGCCAGTCGGCCCAGCAGGCCGCCAAGCCGAGCCAAGATGCCTTTCAGACGGCCCTAGAAGCTCCCAGTACGCCTCAACCGGGCCCAAGAGGACTGCCAAGACACACAATTTTTCCCTTTGCTTTTTGGATGGTTTCCGTGTCCTCGCCTTTTCTGGTTCCCGAGGCTCCAACACGGCGCAAGAGCCCTCCAAGATCGCTCCAAGAGCCCCCCCCTACCAAATGCTTGCCAGCGTGGACTCAAGCATTGACTTCTTGCTCCTCCTTCTCCTGCTCCTCCTCCTCGTCCTCCCTTGCTCCCTCCCCTCCCTTCTCCTGCGCCCTCCTCACCCCGGGCAGCCCAGAATCGAATCGATGAGTCGGATCGGCGGAAATCGGCGGGCTGGTAAGGCCTCCGCCGAGAGTCGCCGAAGTCCGGATCGGCACCCGAAGCCTCATCGAGTCGGAGTCGGAGTCGGAATCGATCGAGATCGACCCGAGTCGAGTTGGAGGCGTCGAAACGAGCCCCGCCTCGCCCCTCGCCCCCCCCCCGGAGGTGGCGCAGTCGCGTCCCACGCGCTGCGCTCCGTGGCGTACCTTCGCCGTGCGGGCCAGGGCCCCCCCCCCCCGCTCGCGTGCGCACCCTGCCGCTGGGGGCCTCTTGGGCGGAGCTCCCTCTCCCTGGCTGGCTGGCCAACGGAGCGTGCGAGGGGGGCGTGCCGAAGCGGTGCCGACGCCCACGCTCGGACCCTGCCGCTGGGGCCTCTTGGGCGGAGCCCCCCGTGTGGCCGCGGGGCGTGTGAGGGGTGTGCCGAAACAGGGACACGCGGAGGGGAGAGGAGGAGGAAGGAGGAGGAGGAGGAGGAGGAGGAGGAGGAGGAGGAGGGAGGGAGGAGGAGGCAGGGAGGAGAAGGAAGAATGCGAGGATGAGAGGAGATGTGAAGGAGGAGGAGTGAAGATGAGGAGGAGGTTGTTGTGTGGTGTACTAGGAGCTGGAGAGGTGAGAGAGGAGAGGAAGGATGGGGAGTAGGAGGAGGGAGAGGAGGAGATGATGGGAGCGGGAGGAGGGGGAGGAGGAGGATTAGGAGGGACGGAGCACGAGAGCAGGAATGAAATGGAGGAGGGGGAGGAGGAAGAGGAGGGAAGGCCGCTCGCCATGTTCGAACGCCGGACGTACTTCCGCACGTCGCTGCGGTGGTTCCTGTGCCAATCGGCCTCGCACGGGGGGGGGGGGCGGGCACGGGACGGACCGTCTTGGTGCAGCGGGGTCCGCGCCAAGGGGTGGGGGAGGGGAGGGGGAGGGGAGGGGAGGGGATGGGGAGGGGAATGTAGCGAGGGAGGGAGGGGGGTCAGGGCGAGCGGTGGAGGGAGGGAAGGAAAGGAGAGGGATCGAGGCGGGGAGGGGCGGAAGGCGGGAGAGGGGTGAGGTTGTGTGGTCTGCGCACGGCACCGCTGGGGACTCTGGTCCGCCTCGACGCTGCGCACGAAAACGCGACCGCAAGAGAAGTGCGCGCGCCTTCTGATGGGGTCTGCCGCGCGTGCGTGGCCTGTTCCGCCCCGTCTGATTGACTTGCTCCGCCTCGTCGTTGCGCGCGAGGCCGCGACCGCCCAAAAGTGTGTGTGTGTGTGTGTGTACGCAACGTTAGCTGTGGTGGGTTTGGCCTTCGACGGTGGCGCCCGCTTTGCACGTCGGCCACGCGCGCGCCGTCCCCACCCAATGGATTTACCTGTGTTGTCAACCGCCCACGCACGCCACCGTGTTCTGGCTGTCGCGGCCCGCGGTCAGCTTGCTTTCTTTGATTGGCCTTTCGGCCCGTACGCGCGCCAACCTCGCGGTACTTGCACCTGCACGGCGTTTTGCCGTGTGCGCTGCTCGCTTGGCCGCGGCGCTTGTCTCGCCCGAGCCAGTCTTGCGCCGCCGTGCGCTGGCTGGTCTGGCAGCCTTGCAGTGCGCATCTTCCTTTGGCTACTTGCACCAAATTGCTGTAGCGCTTCAACTCCTGGCGTCGAGCTACGCTCCGCGGGATGCTTGGCCGCTGTACTTTGGCTTTGCAGCGCCTCATCTTTTCACCACCTGCACCTGTCTGCACGGCCGTGGCTGGATCCTTTCATCACGGCGCGGTCGACTAAGCTCGTCTGCACTTGGCATTTCCATCTGCCGACCGCGCCTGAGGTTCCTCTGTGCCGCCGTCTTAAACAAGTGTGTGTGTACGTATGTGTTTTGTTTGGATTTACATCTTCGCCTTCTCACCACCCATCGCTGCATTGACAGCGTGCGCTCTCTTGTGCACTGCTCCTTCGACAAAATGCTCGATCGCAACTCGCACTGGCGTCTGCTGCTCGCGCCGGAGGACCCTCTGCGCCGCCGACTAAACAGCGTGTGTGTAGGTGTGTGTGTGTGTGTGTATGTGTGTGGGTGTGTTGCCTGCGGCCACCGCTTCCCCGCCGCCCCGGCGCTGCCCCTGCCGCGGCCTGGCTCCGCTATGAGCGGGCCCGGTCTCCCCTCCCTCCCGCCCGCGCCGGGCTTCCTCCCCCCCTTCGTGCAGCGCGGCTTAAGTCGCATCTGTATGTCCTACACATGCTCTTTCCTCCAGCGCAGTCGCTCTGCCCAGCCGCCGACGCCAAAAAAGTGTGTGTGTGTGTGTGTGGGTGTGTGTGTGTGTGTGGGGGTGTGTACCAGGCTGGGCTGGTGCCATCCTCTGGGGCCGCCCCTGTGCCGCTGCCGCCGCCGGCGGGCAGCGGCGCGGCTCTCCGCGCGAGCGCCCGGCCTCCCGCGCCCCGCCTGGGCGCGGCGGGCGAGCCCGCCACGTGGCCAGCGGCCTCGCGAGCGAGCATGCGCTGCCTGGCCTTGCCCTCTGGCCTGCCTCGCTCCCTCCTCCGGCGGCCTTGCCCTCCTCGGGCTTGCCGAGCTCCTGCCCTCTCTTCCTGCTGTCTCCCGGCGGTCCGCCGCGGCCTCCCACGCGCTGCACCTGCCCGCCGCCTCTCGGCTACAGTGAGTGTGTGTTTCGCCCGTCGTCCGCATCGTTACCGTCCGCTCGTCGCGTCTCCTGTGCTCCACGCGAGCCGCATCTCCGCTGATTTCTGGCGTTCAGCGGCGCTTTGGGGCCCGATGGTCATGCTCCCCTCCATGCGCTGGCGCTTCGGCCCCGCTGGACATCCAGCGCCAGATCAGCGTGCCTCCTCCTTGCCATTCACGCTGGGAGGGGGTGCTGATGCTGGCTATGCGGAATCTTCGGAGGTTCCCCCGAGGGCCCGGCCGCGCGCGCACTGGATCTGACCTTTCTCCGTCCGCCTCGACGCTGCGCGCGAGGCCGCGACGGCCAAACAATTTTCTTTTTTTGTTGTCCTGGGGGGGGGGGGGGCGACCGCACATCTCTCTCTCTCTCTCCGTGTGTGTGTGTGGTGTGTGTGTGTGTGGTGTGTGCGTGTGTGTGTGTGTGTGTGTGTGTGCTCTAGCTGCGCGCGAGGCCGCGACGGCCACTTTCTTTTTTTTGTTGTCCTGGTGGGGGGCGACCGCACATCTCTCTCTCTCTTGTCGTGTGTGTGGTGTGTGTGTGTGTTGTGTGCGTGTGGTGTGTGTGTGTGTGTGTTGTGTGTTGTGTGTTGGTGTGTGTGTGTGTGCGGGTGTGCGTCGCGCGCCGCGTGCGTGGCGTGCGTGCGTTTGTTCGTGTGTGTGTTTGTGTGTGTGTGTGTTTGTGTGTGTGTGTGGTGTGTGCGTCCCTGCGTTTGTTCGTGTGTGTGTGTGTTCTTTGCGTGTGTGTGTGGTGTGGTGTGTGTGTGTGGTGTGTGGTGTGTGTGTGTGTGTGTGTGTGTGTGTGTGTGTGAGTGGTGTGTGTGTGTGTGCGTGTGTGTGCGTGTGCGTGTGTGTGTGTGTGCGTGGTGTGTGTGTGTGTTGTGTCGTGTGTGTGTGTTGTGTTTGTGTGTGGTTGTGTGTGTGTGTTGTGGTGTGTGTGGGTGTGGTGTGTGTGGTGGGTGTGGGGGTGGGTGGGTGGGTGGGTGGGTGGGTGGGTGGGTGGGTGGGTGGGAAGTGAGCAGCAGCAAGCCACGGAGCGTGAAGGAGAATCCCACCAGCCCTTTAGGGCGTGAGAGGTCTAGGGCGTTTTCTCTTCCAACTGCCCTTCTTCGCCTTCTGGGAAAGGTTTGCACCTCCCCCGACCTCGTCCGCTGGATCTTGAGGGGATGGGCCGCGGTTTGCTAGAGCGTCCAAGATGGCCTCGGCGAGGAGGCCACAATCATTTATTTTCATACTTTTTAGGCCGACTTTGGAATCCTGGGGGTCGCCCCAAGATGGCCCCAAGATGCGCCCAAGATGCCCCAAGAGATCACCAAATGGCTCCCAAGAGAGCCCCAAGAGGCCCCAAGAGGCCCACCCAAGGCACCCAAGACGCTTCCAGAGGCCCCCGGGGCCGCCAAAAGGCCCCCCAAGACGCCCCAACAGGCCTACAAACAACTCTCTTAAGAGATCCGAAGAGACTCCGAGAAGCATCCAAGATGCCTCTGGCCTTTCTGCTCGCCTTCCTCCTCTTCCGCTCCCTCACTCGCCTAATCCTCGTCCTCCCTCCTCCTTTCTTCTTCTTCTTCTTCTTTCCTATTTTCCCACCACTTACTCCTCCTCCTCCGCCTCCTCCTCCTCCGCCTCCTCCTCCTCCTCCTCCTCCTCCTCCTCCTCCCTTCCTCCTCCTTATAGATAACTCCTCCGTGTCGCACCCCGAGGCTGGTCGAAAGGGCGGGGCCGGTCTGGGCGTTTCGCCTGAGACTTCATCGCCACTCACGAACCTGATGCGTAAACATTGACACAAGTTTCACAGATGGAGGGCGGGTGGTTCTCAAAGTGTTGCTCTCGCCGTAGCGCCGCGCACATTAGTTTTAAATCTGAGCAGCGGTGTCATGTACTGAGGGCGGGTGGTTTTCAAAATGCGGCTCTCGCCTCAGCGCCGCGTACACTCGTTTTCAACATGTGCAAGAGATTCACGGATTGAAGGCGGGTGGTTATCAAAACGTGGCTCTCGCCTTAGCGCCGTGCACATTCGCTTTCAACATGTGCAAGGTTTGACGGATTGAGGGCGGGGGGTTTTCGCAAAGGGCTCTCGATTTAGCGCCGCGCACATTCGTTTTCAATATTTGCAAGGGTTTCACTGGTTGAGGGCGGTTCGTTTTCAAAATGGGAATCTCGTCTTTGGGTCGCGCGTATTCGTTCAAACAAGTGGCAAACGTTCAACGGATTGAGGGCGGTTCCTTTTCAAAATGTGGTTCTCGCCTGTAGCGCCGCGTGCATTCTTTTTAAACAATTGCAAAAATTCCACTGGTTCTCATGGTTAACGTACCAGAAATTGTGTTTTGGAACGGTTCAGGACTGTCAGGGAGCAACAGTTACTTTGATTCGCGGTGTTGGAGTCCGAGGAATGGTGTTGCGCGAATCAGGGCCGACAAGACGTAACAGTCAAGTTAACTCGTGGCGCTGGAGTCCTGAAAACGGAGCTTTGGCACGCTTCAAAATGTTCAGATGGCTGCCCCCCAACCGGGCAATTCCCTCAATGGAACAGACCCCTTGTAGGGGCCGATGAACAGGGATCTTGGAGGGAGGGTGTATTTCAACATCGTTTATGAGTCTTGTGTTTGCACTGGTCCTCCTCCTCCTCCTTCTCCTCGTCCTCCTTCGGCTCCTCCTCTATCCTCCCCCTCTTGCGGTGTGACGACTTCTCAGCCTTTATTCCACTGCGTGCTCCCCCTCCCCCACACCTGATCAGGGCAAGTCGCCTGGGCATCGTTACTGGATTGACTGGTCGGGTTACGCGAAGCGTCTAGGATTAAGAGGGTAGTGGAAGGAGGGGGCTGGATGTCAATCGGGAGAGGGAGGAGGTTGATGAGAAGGGCGATCCCAGCGATGAGGGGGGTAGGGGACTTCGCGAGGAGCGGAGGGAAGACGAACAAGAAGATGACGATGATGATGATTCTGATGATGAGGATGATGGTGATGACGATGGCGATGGCAATCGCGATGATGATGATGCTGCTGATGCTGATGACTGACTATGACTCTGATGATGCTGATCATGCTGATGATGATGATGATGCTGGTGATGATGACGACGAGTCTGATGGTGATGATGAGGAGGATGAGGAGGATAAGGAATAGGAGGAGGCGGAGGAGGTGGAGGGGATCCTTGTACGCTCGCATATTCTCAATCCGCCGAGGCCTTGGTCTCCCACTTCACGATCATCTCCTGTCGGCCAGGCGGGTGGTACGTCGGGGAACGGCCCCCGCCCGGCACACCCACCCGCAACGACCCACTCCATCCGAACAGGCCGGCTCAAAGGTGCCGACGGCACGAATAAACTGCACGCGCTCAAGTATGCCCAGAGAGAAAGAAAGAGAAAGAGAGAGATAGAGAAGAAGAGATCGCGATATATACATATAACTGTACATATATACATACATACATACATACGTACGTACGTACATACATGCATACATACATACGTACGTACGTACATGCATGCATACATGCATGCATGCATGCATGCATGCATACATGCTGAGTGCCCCCCAGATCATGCGATCATGCGGGCCGCCCCCCTGCTCCTCACCCTCCTCCTCCATCCCCCCTCCCGTTCGGCCCACAGGGGTGGCTGCTCGTACACTGCCCAACCACCGAGGGACCTTCTATCCCGGAGAAAAAGGAGAAGGAACTTTTGCAGTTTGCTAAACATCTCTTGGTTGGGAAACCAAAAAGCTTCACTCCCTCCTGGACAGTCGGAGAAGCGACAACACCGATGTTCAAACGCCCCCTGTCATTGCATTCCACTCGCTTCCTCCTACTGCGCCTCCTCCTCCTCCGTCCTTTCTTTCCCTCCACCGCTCCCCCTTCCTCCCATTTCATGATAAGCTGCTCTAGTCCTCAGCCGCTTCCTCCTCTCCCCGTCCCTCCCTCCTCATCCTCTTCTTCCTCCTCCTCCTTCTCCTCCTCCCCCCCCTCCTCCTCATTTCTCCCTCTGTGTCCTCTTCCTCCTCTTCTTCCCTTCCTCATACTCCGCGATCAGCTCTTCTCCTCCCTCTCTCTCCTCGCCCTCCTCGCCGTCCAAATTCTCCCTGTTCGCTATCCTCCTCATCCCCTTCGCGGAGGGACTTCTAAGGAAGGGACTTTGAATGGGAGGGTTATTGCAGCATCGTTGCTACATCTTGGGTGTACTCTTGTCCTACTCCTTCCCTCCTGACCCTCACCTCCTCCTCCCTTCCTCCCATCCTCGCTCGCTCGATAGCTGCTTTCTCCTCCCTGCTTCATCCTCCCCCTCCCCCTCTTAATCATTCCTCCTGCTCCTCCTCCTCCTCCTCCTCCTTCCTCCCCTCCCCCGTCCTGCTCCTCCTGCCCCTCTCCCTCTTTCCATCCTCCTTCCTCCTCCTCCTTTCTCTTCCTCCTCCCACCCCATCTTCTCCACCTGCTCCTCCTCTCTGCTCCTCCTCCTCCTCCTCCTCCTCCTCCTCCTCCTCCTCCTCCTCCTCCTCCTCCTCCTCCTCCTCCTCCTCCCCCCTCCCTCGCTCGCTAGCTCGCTCGATCGCGGCTTCCTCCACCCTCTTCCCCGCCGCCCTCTTCCCTCCTCCCTTCTCCTGCTGGTGCACCCGAGAAATCCTGCAGCCATGGGTCGACACACTCTCCGTCCTTCGCTGTCTCCGGCTGGCCGATGTCAGAAACCTTGAGCCCAAGAATGCTGGCGTCTCACTTCTTCTTCGCACAGAACCCACAGGTGCCACACCAACATCGTGAAGCAAAATGTCGCTGAGCCAACCGCGAACACCGCACAAGCCACCCTGTAATAAGCAAGCTAGTGCTGAACCGTTGGCGTCTCCAGAAGAAGGAACAACGGCATAAACATAGACTTTTGGCGCTCCGCGCGGATTTCTTGGATCTGCGCCGGACTCTCCCTGGCGCCCTGGCGCGCGGAGCGCGCCAGGGGCGGCGCCGGAAGCGCCGCCATGGGGGTCCTGGCGCAGATCCCAGATATATCCGTGCGGAGCGCCACCAGCTTATGTTCATGCCGTTCTTGCTCTGCTTTTGTGCCTTGCTCTTCTCTCCTTCGGGAGCCACTTCTGCTCCCGCCCCCTTCTGCCGGCCTTCCGCCAGCCTCGCCCCGGCGGGCCCGCCGCCGTCTCCCCTCCGCCGGCCTCTCTTTTCGCTTGCTCTCCCGAGGGCGAGGCGCGCCGCCGGCGGGGGGGCCCTGCGCAGAGCGCCCCCCCGCGCGGAAGGGGCGCGGCGCTCGCGCGCGGGCGCTCGCGCCCAGCAGCCCTCGCGCGGCTGTCTGCGCGGGTCGCTCTCGAGGCCTCCCGCGTCGCGACACCGGCAGAGGCGGGGCCCAGCCTCGCCGTTGTCGGCGAAGCAAAACAGGGCGGGCGCCTGGCCCCTCCTTTTTTTTTTCAGATGCTGGCCGACAGCCGGACAAGAGCCCCGATCTCGAGGGTGTCGCGTGCTGCCACGGGGGCGGTGGCCGCCTGCTGCGTGGGCAATCTCCGATGTGCGGCGCTGGCCGCACGTAGAAGCCGCCCCGAAGCCGCCCCCGCCCAGGGGCGAACGGGGCTGTGCCTCGCCTGCATGTGTGTGTGTGTGCGAGAGAGAGAGAGAGAGAGAGAGAGAAACACTGTGAGGGTGCGTGCGTGCGTACGTACGTGCTTGCGTGCGTGTTTGTTTGTTTGTTTGTTTGTTTGTGTGTGTGTGTGTGTGCGTGGGTGTGTGCTGGGCGCCTCCCACTGGCGTCCAATGTAGTCGTGAGGCACATCGCGGGAGGAGGACACAGTGTGTTTGTTTGTGTGTGTGTGTGTGCGCGTGGCCCGAGGCCGGCGCGCGCGGGGGCCCGTTCGAGTTACTCGATTTGCTACGCCTCGTCGCTGCGCGCGATGCCGCGATCATCAAACAAGTGTGCGCGTGTGTGTGCGTGCGTGCGTGCGTGCGTGCATGCGTGCTTGCGTGCGTGCGTGTGTGTGTGTGTGTGTGTGTGTGTGTGTGTGTGTGTGTGTGTGTGTGTGTGAGTGTGTATGTGAATACTGTATGTGTGTGTGTGTGCGTGTGTGTGTGTGTGTGTGTTTGTGTGTGTGTGTGTGTGTGTGTGTGTGTGTGTGCGTCTGTGTGTGTGTGTGCGTGCGTCTGTGTGTGTGTGTGTGTGCTCGTACGTCCGGCGCCGCTGCTGGTTCCCCCCAACGGCGCTCCCCCCTGCCGCAGCCAGTGACTTGCCTTAGCGGGCCCTGCTTCCCCTCTTCCCGTCGCGCCTGGGCCTCCTCCTCTTCCGTCGTGCATCGCGGCCTGAATTTGCATGCAGTGCGCCCTCTGATGCCCGATCGCCGGAGCAGTCACCCCCTTCCCAGCCGCCGACGCAAAAAGTGTGCGCGTTTGTGCGCTTCTTTTCGTGGACTTGCCCTACGCCTACGCTGCGCCGCCGCCTACGCTGTGCCGCCGCGCGCGTGGACGCGACGCCCAACAAATTGTGTTTGTTTGTTTGCTTGTTTGTTTGTTTGTTTGTTTGTTTGTTTGTTTGTTTGTTTGTTTGTGTGTGTGTGTGTTTGTTTGCGCGTGTGTGATTCTGTGCGGTGGGGTCAACAGAAAGGTGGAGCTGGCATTAGTTTCTCCTCCTCCTCCTCCTCCTCCTTCTCTTCATTCTCGTGCTCCTCCACTTCCCTCCCCTTGCTCCTCCTCCTCATCCTCCTCATCCCCCCGTCCCCCCTTCTCGCCCTCCCCTTCCTCCTCCTCCTTCTCCTCCTCCTCCTTCTCTTCCTGCTTCTGCTTCTCCTTCTCCTGCTGCTGCTGCTGCTCCACCTCCTTCCCCTCCTCCTCCTGCTCCTCCTCCTCCTGCTCCTCCTTGTCCTGCTGCTGCTCTTCCGCTCTCGCCTGTTCCTCCTCCTCCTCCTCCTCCTCCTGATGGTCCTGCTCGTGCTCCTCATTCTCATGCTCGTGCTCCTGCTCCCACCGCTGCTCCCTCTCATCCCCTCACCCTCCCTTCCTCTTCTCTTGCCCCCTGTTATGCTCATCCCGCCTCCCTCCTCGCTCCCCTCTTCTCTCCCTCCCCCCTCTCTCCCGTGCTCTCGATCGGCGCGTCCTCCTGGCCGACGCTGCCGTTGAATCGCGACACGGTGCACTTCATGGTCCCCAGCAGCTTCTTCTGGTCGGCGATCATGCCCCAGACCTGCTGGGACGGGGCGGTCCACCGTTGGCCGGGGGCGCCTTGCCGCGGCGTGTGGGCCACTCCGGCGCCACGCAGCGCTCTCCTTGATGAGGGGAACTGCCAGCGCGGGAAAAGCGTGCATTCATTAGTGGAGGCCAGTCCACAAGAAACCTTCCACAAGAAACCCAGCCCTGAGACTGGACGCCCATCGTTTTCTGATGTGGGAATATTACGCTTTCCGTAGCGAAACCATCGAAACCCAAGAAATCCAGGGCACCCTGGAGGCAAGCAGGGTGTTTCTTGGCAAGGGTCTCCACTGGAGGCGTGCGACCAGACTGCGGAGCGACCGCTGGACACAGCGGCGTGTTGCCTGCCAGCGCGGGCCCTGATTTTCTGCCACCTTGCGAAGCGTTCCACCTTGAGAACGATCTCCCCTCTCTCGCGCCGTGACTGATGTGGGCAATCTTGGAAACCCTGAACCCCAAAACGTGTTCATCTCTTGGGGGTGCATTGTTTACTTCCGCCGCCTTCTGCCGAGCTTCCGCCGGCGGAGGCGGCCTCGTTTTACTTCCGCCGACCTTCCGCCACAGAATAGATGACAATTCCTTCGATCCTCGAAGGCAAGGCTATTGTTGGAACGCCCAATTTGTTTGGAGACCCCAGCTAAAGATGAGCCTCTGGGAGGTGTTCAGCCTTGAATGTCCGCGCCGGCGTCGCTGCCGCGTCGAGGTGGCGCGAATCTGCCCTACCAATCCCGAGGCGAATCGAAAATATCCAGTCTTGTGCTCCCCGAAGGAGCCTGGGGGAGTGCACTCCGATGAGCCAGACTGTGCGGTTCGATGATCCTGAGAACGCGTGAAGGTGCTAGCGCCAACGTCTGCTGGTCCAGCGAAGCACTTTAATGCGAACGACACAAGCGATGTAAAGAAGGTCGCCGCAGGCTGCATGCTAACGGAGTAAACATGTTTTGGGTAAACGCGCGCCCTGAGGATCGATCGAGCGGGGGACCATGCGGCTCCGCGCTACGTCGCGGAACCCGCTCGCGCCCCGAGCCCCACCACCCCAAACACTCATCCCGACTAGAGTCACGCGGATTCTTTGTGCAAGCGCTGGGCCCCCCCCTCCCCCCTGCGCGCGGAGCGCACCAGGGGCGGCGCCGCCAGGGCGGGGCCAGCGCCGACACGAGAATTTTGCGCGGACCTCCGACAACTTATGCTTGTAAGGTTAGGTCGGGTATGTCCTCCTGAGGGTGGATTGCAAACATAGTCAAGAAAGCACGAAACATCCCGAGAAACCAAGGGCACCCTGGAGGCAAAAGAAGAGAGCTTCTTGGCATGGCCCCCCACGGTAGAGGGACATGCCCCACTTCAGCTCGTGCTTTGGAGGCGCGCGGGCAGAGAGATCCTCGACGCCCGCCGCGCGGCTCGGAACGCGGCCCCCCAGTTTGAGCAGGGACCGACCGTCCCGGCATTCCTATATTCCTACCACGAAATGTTCTTAGAACCCAAAAATGTTCGAATAACAAAAACAATGTTCTTATAACGTAAGCACGATGTGTTTAAACAAGACAGGCTCCGCCAGAAATGTTCTAAGAACATTTCGTGGGAGCCACAAAAGGTTTTGGTAGGACTATAGGCACGCCAGGACGCTTCGCCACTGCTTCACACACGAGGACTCGGAGCCCCCAGCGAGAGAGGCCCCGGGCCCCGGCCGAGCTCGGCGGACTCCCCCCGAAGCGCCGGCCGCAGCAGCCCCGACCTGATGCAGGTCGGCCGAAGTTTGGGCCGGCGAGGGAGTCCTCCTCCTCCTCCTCCTCCTCCTCCTCCTCCTCCTCCTCCTCCTCCTCCCCCTCCTCCTCCTCCTCCTCCACCTCCTCCTCCTCCTCTCTCCCTCCTCCTCCTCCTCCCTCCTCCTCCTCCTCCCCTCCTCTTTCCCCCTCCTCCTCCTCCTCCTCCTCGTCCTCCTCCTCCTCCTCCCTCCTCCTCCTCTCTCTTCTTCTTTCCTTCCTCCTCCTACTCCATCCCCCCTCCTCCTCGCTCCATTCTCCCTCCTCCATCCTCTCTCCTCTCCTCCTCTTCTTCCTCCTCCTCCCCTCTCCTCTACTTCCTTCTCCTCTCCCTCCTCCTCCTCTCCTCCTCCTCCTCCTCCTCCTGCTCCTCCCTCCTCCCTCCTCCTCCTCCTAGTCATCCTCCTCCTCCTCCTCCTCCTCCTGCACTGGCCCGGGGGCACCCGAGTGGGTCCCCACCCCCGCCACAATGGGGGACTCCCGGGCTTTGGGGTTCAGCCCGGGTCTCGCTGCCCGCCACGCCACGGCAGCAAACCTGCCGGGCTCCGCCCTCCCTTCGGAGGCGGTTCGCGCACGGATTCCGGCCCGTCCGCCCTTCGACGGAACGGGCGCTCCTTCACACTTGGTCCTCCTTCCTCCTCCTCACTTCTCCGCCTCTCTCCTCCTTCCTCCTCCTCCTCCTCCTCCTCCTCCTCACTCCCCTCCTCCACTCCTCCTTCCTCCTCCTCCTCCTCCTTCTCCTCCTCCATTCCACCCTCTCCTCATCCTCCCTCCTCCTTTCCCCACCCCACCCCCAAGCCTCCTCGTCCTCCTCCTCCTCCTCCTCCTCCTCCTCCTCCGCCTCCTGCTACCCGTGGATGCCCTCGTCGCTCCCCCTTCGCCGATCGGCCAAAGTTTCGGCCAGCGAAGGTATCGTTTTTGGCCTGGAGGCCTCTCGGAGGCCTTCTTGGACCTCTTGGGGGTGGGAGTTGTGCAATTTCCGCCCGTCCCTGGGCGTTCCTGGCTCGGAGGTCGTTCTGGGGGCCTCTTCTGGGTCGACTTGGGCGTCCTCTTCGGGCGCTGGCCGAGGCCCAACGCCGTGCAGGGGAGGCCACAGGCCCGTGAAAGAATCCCGCCTGGAGCTCTCGACCCCGCCTGCCGCAAGCGACCCTCCGGACACATGGGCCGGCGGCCCGTGAGGCCCCGAGGGGCCAGGGCCAGGGCGGGGCCGAAGAAGCCTGCGGTGGCCGTGGCCTGAAAGTGCTTGGAGGCTGGAGGCCAGGGAGTGCCTCTCGAAGCCAAAACCAAAGCCGAGAGCGCCCCAAAACCTCGACCCTCAAGCCTCGATCCGCCTCCTCCTGCTCCTCCAGCTCCACCTCCCCAGATCTTCGACACACTTTTCTTGATTGCGGACTCCCTGGAGCTCCGGACCCCCCTACCCTCCCCAGATCTCCAGCGTCGCCTTTCTGCTGAACACGGGGGGTCGCTGGAGCTTGTGCCCTCCCTCCGCCGTCCCCAAGGGGCCTGCTTTTCGTCCCGGACGGGCTCTCGAGGGTCCTTCTCCTCCTCCTCCACCTCCTCCTTCTCCTTGTCCTGCTGCTCCTCCTCCTCCTCCTGCTTCCCCTCCTCCTCCTCCTCCTCCTCCTCCTCCTCCTCCTACTCTCCTCATCTCCTCATCCTCCTCCTCTCCTCCTCTCCTCCTCCCCATCCTCCTCCCCCTCCTACTCCCCCTCCCCCTCCTCTGCTCTCCTCCTCCTCCTCCTCTTCCTCCCTCCTCCACCCTCTTCTCCCCTCTCCCTCCTCACTCCTCCCATCTTCCCCCCCCCCCCCCCCCCCCCTCTCCTCCTCCTCTCACTCCTCCTCCTCCTCCTCCTCCTACTCCTCCTCCTCCCCCTCCTCCTCACACGGTGCGCCTCTGCTGTGCGTGCTATCGTAGGGAGCGCGCTGCCACAGGCCAGAGCCCCTCCCAGCGCCCAGAATGGCCCCTGTTTCAGCGTTTTGGCTGTCCCAGAACTCCGACGTCGTCTTCCTCTCACAACGGGGACCCCTGGACGTCTGGACCATCTCCCCGGACTGGCTTCTAATCCCGAGTCGTCTTTTGACGCTCCTGGGGCCCGGCGAGGGCCCGCAGAGGCCAGCAAATCACCCTAACAGCAACAAAGGTGAAGAAACGGATGGAGGAGTAGGTCGGCTAGTGACAATGGTGAGAGCACGGCCATATGCAACTAACTTATTGTATGTATCGTGGCCGTCCATGCAAAACATGTAGCTGGCCAGCATCGAGGCGAGGGCGCGACTCCTGAATGCATTGCGAGGTAGTCTCAGGCAAAATGGCTGCCAGACTGGATGGTCTAAGGCTCCCCGTCCCCCCTGTGGGACTCCCCAACACTCCTCTTCATCACTATAAGAACCCTCCAGAGAAACTTGACTACAGCCAGCCGGTATCACAAGGATGCGCGGTAAGGATGCAAGGGCCTTGGAGGCCTCTGTTAACGTTTTTCGAACGAGGTTGGCCAGCTAAAGTCTCTAAGGATGGGCCGAAGGGGCAAGGACACAAGGGTACCCTTGGGGAGGTTGCCTAGCCTTACTATGCGGGTTGACTGTAGGCGAAAAAACGACGGTCGTGCTATTATGAAGTCGGGCGTGTCCCCCTACAGGGGGATTTTCGACGAAAAATAAAAGATAAGCAAGAAATACTCCAAAATGGTAAAACAAAAAGTGCTAAAAAAATTGTTCCGACACTATTTTTCCACTGTTCTTGAATATGCCCGCTGTAGAAGGACAAGCCCGACTTAATGCTAGTATTTTCGCGACGGGAGAGCGCGAATAGCTTCGCGCTCTCGCGCCGCCTCCCAGGGGGGAAGAGGAGGAGGAGGAGGAGGAGGAGGAGGAAGAGGAGTAGGAGGAGGAGGAGGAGGAGGAGGAGGAGGAGGAGGAGGAGGAGGAGGAGGAGCGAACGTCGCTCCAGAGGAAGAGTCGCCTACCTACCCGTGCGCGCACGTGCAATATCAAGGCAACGAAGTAAGTGCTGTGGCCCAGAACCAGGGTGCGCAGAGATGATAGCGTGCAACTGGTGCGCCAGGCTAAGCCTCAAGACCGACCGATCGAGCGAGTCATCGGGGGTCGAGGCATGGTCCCGCGAGGACCCAAGACAGAGCTTCATTAATACAGAGTTGGAACAAAATTCCCGAGGAAAACAGGCAGCCCACCACAGGTGCCGACACCTCAAATAGTGTGACATATTGTCGGCCCCATTCT